TAATAATATATATATATATATATATACACACACACAACACACATATATATATATATACTACTATATATATATATATATATATATATATATATATATAAACATAAACATATATATACATACATACCCTCGTGAATACAGAGAAAGTGCGCATCAGCACAAACACCCTTTCTTCACAGACGCAAACCTGATACAAAGCACTCCCCCCCCTTTCACTTCTACCTACCACTGCACCTATCCACTCCACACACCTGGCTCATCCGTAGAGCACACAGCGTAGCCGTCCTTGACAGACGCGGGAAACGGCGGATAAGGATTAGACGAACGTACCGATTGAGAGGCAACGGCGCAGAGGGCGTCTCCGTTGAGAGCGCTGCACTGCTCCACTTCTAATCTGCGCGGTGTAAGTAGAGGTTAGTAATCTGTGAGGTGTAAGTAGAGGTTAGTAATCTGTGTGGTGTAAGTAGAGGTTAGTAGTCTGTGAGGTGTAAGTAGAGGTTAGTAGTCTGTGAGGTGTAAGTAGAGGTTAGTAGTCTGTGTGGTGTAAGTAGAGGTTAGTAGTCTGTGCTGTGTAAGTAGAGGTTAGTAATCTGTGTGGTGTAAGTAGAGGTTAGTAGTCTGTGTGGTGTAAGTAGAGGTTAGTAGTCTGTGTGGCGTAGGTAGAGGTTAGTAGTCTGTGTGGTGTAAGTAGAGGCTAGTGTTCTCGGGTGTGTGTACATATATTGTGTGTGCATCCCGTCGCACACAAGCATAAGACAGTACGGGTACAGCAACGGTTGTTTGTATCGGTGGAAGGGGGGTTAACGGCTCTGACGAGACCGAGCCCTAGTTTTATCTAGATATTGTTTATCTAGGTACTTTGTAACTAGATATTTCATACTCAGAATTATGACATGTTACCTCACACATCAGATTGTAGCTTAGTGTAGCTCGCATGTATTTCGTACAGAATCATTTACGGTTGGTTGTACGGATTAGCGTTCGAAAACCCTAAACCCTGTAATCAAAGCGTATTGGAGCCCTTGCGCATATGTTTGGTGTCGATTGGCTGCCGTCTCGTACGCCTCGAATGAAGAGGTCTCGACCAGATGAAACGGCACTAGCCACACCTCCGTTGCATACACCTCCGTTGTGTACACCTCCTATGTATACACCTCCGTTGTGTACACCTCCTATGTATACACCTCCGTTGTATACACCTCCGTTATGTACACCTCCTATGTATACACCTCCGTTGTATACATCTCCATTGTATTGAGCTAGAGCTGGGCGAGACATACGTTGGATGAAGACGGATGTATTCACAGGCACAGGGGTCACTTGTTGGCACGGCTATACGGAACAAATGTAGGGAAAGTGTGGAACTAGGTAGCATACGTTTTTAGGGGTTTAGGGGTTTAGGGTTTTGGGGTTTAGGGACATTCAAATGTAGGAACAGAGTGGAAGTAGGAAGCATACGTCCAATAAATGAGACCAGTCGTGCAGGGATGATGCCACGCGCAATGTGGATTGTTTCTATATGAATTACATACGATGGGGGTTATAACTATATGAATTACATACAATATGGGTGATAACTATATGAATTACATACAATGTGGGATATAATTATATGAACTACATACAATGTGAGTTATAACTCTATGAATTACATACAATGTGGGCTATAATTATATGAACTACATACAATGTGAGTTATAACTATATGAATTACATACAATGTGGGTTATACCTATATGAATCCCATACCAAGATAATCTCATCTGTACCTCTGCTCTCTCTCACTCACACACACCTTTCGCAATGCCCGTCAATAGCCTGCAGCGCATTTTCTACCGAGACCAGTTCATACGGTGAAGTTCGGTACCTCTGCGCCACCCGGTGTGTGGCATACACGGCCTTGTCCTGAGCGCTCTTGATGAAAGCGCCTTTGTTTGTATGGGGGCAGACATGTGCGTGTGCGTGTGTGGGCGTCTGTACATGCTCTGCACTCGCCTCAGTCCCTCCCCCCGATGCAGAGTCTTCCGTGTTGTTGTTGTTGTGTGTGTCTGTATCCCTTCTCGTGTATGTGGGGTGCTCTGTTGTGGTGCAGTTGAGACTGTGCGTGTGCGTGTCATAGCTCTGCATTTTGCGATGTACGTCATCGTTTGAATTAGTCACTTGCGACAGTGCGTGGCCCAGCACCGGCAAGAGGAACGACAGGCACTCCGTAGCACCTTTCCTACTGCCTATGTGAAGATGGAAAAGTAATACACGAGTGTGTGAGTGTGGCAAAGTAGTACATGAGTGTGTGAGTGAGGCAAAGTAGTACACGAGTGTGTAAGTATGGAAAAGTAATACACGAGTGTGTGTCCGTGTGTGAGAGTGAGAGAGTGAGAGAGAGTGTGAGAGTAGGGATGTAGCGGAGAATCGAGTATAAATACACTCAGACATAGTTGGAAAACGGAAAGTATCAACAACAAGCTCCTTTTTGCCATTATCACCAAGCCATTTGAGAGCAGACACTGAGATTTGGGTTCATATATAAATATATATATATATATATATATATATATATATACATATACATACATACATATATATATATATACATGCATACACACACACACACACACACATATATATATATATAGGAATATATATATATATATATATATATATATATATATATATGTATATATATAGAAATATATTTATATAGAAATATATATACATATACATAGAAATCGAAATATATATATATTTATGTATATACATACATACATATATACATATATATATTATATATATATATATATATATATATATACGTATATAATATATATATATACTATTACATACATACATACATACACACACA